TTTAAATGATGTTTTTATATAATGGGACGTTTTGCCATTTAAAACCACTGACGAGTTTAATTAAAGACGTTTCTTGTTGGCACTTCTTGGCAATAACTGAGTGTCATTAAAATTATATTTGATTTATAAAACTTAATATTACATTGTTATGATGGCAGTTTGAAGAATGTAGCCATAAGAATAATAGGAGACTGATATTTTTATTTATGAACAGTTCATCTTAATGGATTCATTTAACTTCAGGTGCAGACAAAGGGACTTCGAAGCTGGGACTGGCATTAGGTAATTTACCTCCTTCCTAACTTATAATTTACTTTCCATTAGTTTAAGGTCAAGTTTGATAGAATGCTGCCATTATTAGAAGAAACAGAAGGGCAGAGGAAGATGGTAAGAGGCTAAGGCTTACATAAAAATCTCACTTTTACGATCTGTGTGATATAAGGAAAATCGAGGAAAGAAGAGTAGAGAATTTTTTAACAGGTTCGATTTAAAAAATTGAAGAGGTGGGATTATAAGATTTCTGTGTATTTTGTGCAATTCAAGTTGGGTATGAAGTAATTAAAAAGGAACATGAAGGAGTCAAAATGGCCAAATGACATGAATACAAGTTGAGTCTTCAAAATTATGAGCACTATTTCAGTGTAAAATGGAAGTCTAATACTCTTGAGAAAAAACTTGACATTTAAATATTCATATAAAATAGTGCTTATTTTTCAAAATTTATAAACTTTTCAGAAAAAGAAGAAGAAAAATAGTTAAAGTATATAATCACTCAGGACAACAAAATTGCATTACATTTTTTTTGGTTCGTTTGCCATTGAAGGAGGCATACTTCTCCCAATGGCTGCAAAACATACCAAGATAAGCAATTCATTCTCCATCTTACCCAACCCCCCCCCCCAAAAAAAAAAAAGCCTCTTACCCATACCTAACAATGAACATGGCTTTAAAGCTTAAATGCTTGTCCTTCTTTCGTGAACTCCTTCATAACATATCTTTCCTTTCTGAGTAACATAACAGAGCTTTCTTGCTTACAACGAAAATACAGAGAGTCCGAGGAAAGAATCCCCATAAATAGTATGATTTGTGTGGATATATGCTGTTAGATTGATATTGATCAGGGATTGTTGTATTGATACAGGTTTAGGGGTTGGACTCCCAGGGATGATAACAATGGGGATGATTGCGTGGTGGTGGTGGTGGAGGAGAAGAAAATATGGCGATTCGGATTCTATAAGCAGATACTCCACTTATTCTCACACAGACAGTAGCAATGTCTACTTCGGAATCCCTGTTTTCTCCTACTCCGAGCTCGAAGCAGCCACCAACCATTTTGACCCTTCCACAGAGCTTGGAGATGGAGGCTTCGGCACTGTTTATTACGGTAACCCTTCCTCCCTCCCATATTATTTTTTTCAAGTGCTCACCATTAGGACATGACCAGGCACTAGCACTAAATATGAATACTTATTCTGATGGAAATTCGAAGGAATTAGTTCCTTTTTGCTGGATCTAACAACCACTAATGGTTCTTTTGATACTACTTTACTTGTTTAGTGTGATTCAATTACTTGTTTGTTTCAATTAGGTAAGCTTGAAGACGGACGAGAAGTTGCTGTAAAACGCTTATACGAGCAACATTACAAACAGGTAGAACAGTTCATGAATGAAGTGAGGATCCTCACTCGTTTACACCACAAAAACCTTGTCACTCTCTATGGCTGCACCTCCCGCCACAGCCGAGAACTCCTCCTCGTCTACGAGTTCATCCCAAACCGCACCGTCGCTCATCACCTCCACCTCCACAGAGATCCCAAAAAGCCCACTGTTTTTCCATGGTCCACTCGCATGAAAATCGCTGTCCAAACCGCCAGAGCATTGGTCTACCTCCATGCCTCTGAAATCATTCACCGCGACATCAAAACCAACAACATTCTCCTCGACGAAGGATTCAATGTTAAGGTTGCAGATTTTGGACTCTCAAGGTTGTTCCCCAACAATGTCACTCATGTTTCCACTGCTCCACAAGGGACACCGGGTTATCTCGATCCCGAATATCATAGTTGCTATCAGCTCACCAGCAAAAGTGATGTTTATAGCTTCGGAGTTGTGCTCATCGAGCTCATAACATCCATGGAGGCGGTCGACATGAGCCGGGACTCGGACTCCATAAACTTGTCGAGCTTAGCAGTGAGGAAGATTCAGAGGAGTGAGCTGAGCGAGCTGGTGGATCCTTCTCTTGGGTTTGAGCGTGATGGGGAGGTGAAGAGGATGGTAATATTGGTGGCTCAGGTGGCGTTTCAGTGTTTACAGACTAATAAGGAACTGAGACCTTCCATGGAGGAAGTTCTGGAGATGTTGGAGAGGATTCAAAGTGGGAGTGATCGGGTACAGGAGCACCCACGATTGCCACCGGAATCACCCAAATGGGATGAGGTTGGGTTGTTGAAGAACGCAAATCCACCGCCTTATTCTCCCAACAGTGTTGCTGATAAATGGGGAAGCGAAACCACGACGCCCAATGTCAGTGCTTGAGCAAGTGTTCATAATAGGTTCTCTGATCTCTGTATAATACCAATACGGTGAGTATATATGTCTGTCTGTTTTTTTTTCTGTTTTTCGACCTTGAAGTATATATGTGTGTTCAAAAGCGAGCAAGTTAACTTTTTTTTTTTTGAGGGCATTTCTGGGATGTCACTCACAATGAATTTATGGAGCAAAATTCATTCAAATTTAATCATATGAATCTGTATACTATCTCTTCATTTTATCTTTTATATTTATTTATTTATTTTTAAGGTAATCCTTATAGTAGTTCAACCAATATAATTGATTAGTAATGATGTTTTATGAAAGGTAACACCTATAACTAATTTAACTAATTTTTTTAATCAACTCAAATTAATCAACTAGTTTTTTTTATTAAGGATCGAAAGTAATATTTTATTTGTTTAGCGATGTACTTACTGAAATTAGAAATGCGGCTTAGGTCACGGATTGCGGATTAGGTGGGTTGGGAATCTCGCATGTTGGCCATTCGCATTTGCCCCTCCGGTTTTTAATGGAGGACATAATTATGAAGTTGATGTTGATATTACATATTCACATACTTGTCAATTTTTTTTAAAATTACTCCTATTAATATTCTCTCAACAATAATCAAGTATAAGAGAGAGGGAGGAAATTAAGAAAGATGTTTAAAGTGTTTTAGAAAAAACATACTCCTCTAACCCTATTTATAGAACACTTCCATCATATTTTATACAGACTAAGAAGAACATTAAGCTGCATTAACTCTTTTTTAAAATATAATAACTTTTCAATTTTACCCTTATTTAATATTTATACTTTTTTAAAAAATTATCTACATTATAATAAACAAAGAACAAAATAATACATTTATATTAAAAAAATTAATAAGGTGACTTATAAATAAGACTGAAGAAAAATCTTATTTTTCTATTTTATAAATATGACCAAATAAATACCATATTAACTAATTTAATTAATATTTTAATATTTTTAAATTAGTTATTGAGTTTTTATATTAAAAAAATCAGAAATAGTAATAAATTTTTATTATTAAATCTACATAAAGATATGATAAAATCTGAAATCACTGAACAATAATCTCTTTGTGTGATTATAATCGGACACAAAATAATCTCTACATTTTATAAAATCTCTGTATAATAAATAATTTGTTTTTTCAAAAGTCTAAATGATCTTCTATTTTTTTGGGCCAAACAAAAAGTCTAAACGATCTAAACATAACCTTTTAAAGCTAAAAATTGTCATTATTTTCCTTTTAAAACAAACTGAGCAGGACTGTTTGGCTGAACATGATTTTAAAAAATGGGATTAATTTCGCCTTGATTCATACCAAAACACCTTTTTTTTTTTTTTTTAAGGTGATTTTGGGGTATCCAATCATCCCCAGCCACTTGTTTGGTCCCTCGCCCGGTCGTGGACGGATTTCAGACATCCTGCTGCTTTTTCCTTTTCTTTTGTCATTCTGCTGCTGACATGTAAGAGTGAAGATGCCGGGAGATCAATCGAGGAAGAAGAAAGCTACTCAACATGTACGTTCCACACTTCGGTTTATTGTTTTATTGCTTTTACTTTTTCTCCTGCTTTCACAACCACGTTCATCTTTTCAAGGCCTTTGGAATTTACTGAACCTTGTTCGTCAGCAGTGTCTGCTGGTGTCAATTTCACATTAATAGGTTGGGGCACACAAGGTGTTTGAACTTATGCCTGAGATGCAAGATTCTGAAATATCACAATCTTGAATTTTACGACTTGCCATAGTCATGTGCGGACACCTTTGGACGCGTTTTCTCTTTGACCCATTCCATGCCAACTAAATTCACTGTGTGAACCATCTTACCACCAGAATCATGATCACCTAAATATCAAGCAATGAGATACCACTATATGATCTGGCTTTCTTGCTGCTTCACATAATTTAATCTCTTTAGTTCTGTGTTTTATTTTTCCTTTCTACAAATTCATGACACGTGTCCTCCTTTTACCCACTTCATGTCTGTGTAGTGTGGTCTTTTCAGCGGATTCTTTTTGGAGTTATAGAAGGCCATGCGGGCACAACTCCTATACCAGACGCACTGGGCCTCGTTGTTCCACATCCAGTGGCAATATCTTTGTCATCCTTTGGCCGGTTTGACAAAGCCATAAAAGGAAGAAAAGAAGTTACATCTTGAATTAATTGTTTGAACCGCAGCTTTCAAAATGTGTGATTCTTGGAGGGTCCAGGATTCAATAGGCCAACCTGGAAAGTTTTATCCCGTCTTCTTTGGTGGAATGATCAACGTAACTTTTAACAAAGCCTAACCTACCTCTTATTTTCTTTCAGGTCTCTTTCACAAAGTCTTGAATGGTTATTTACCAAGTCAACCTGCGCCATCAAACAGTTCAAGGGGGAACTGGGGATAATATACTGGGGAGAAGGTGGAAATATAATCCAAGCTTAATTAGTGTATGAGGCTCTTGTTGGTGCCTTTATTGTTTTGCTCAAAAGTTAATGAATTATGGCTCTGGTTTTTGAGTTTCGTTTCCTCTTGATTTCTCACCTTTTACTTCTGTCAGTTAAGTATGGAAATGCGAGGCATGTTAAGTGTCCTAGGTCTTTTAATTGCAGAGAACTTGGAAGCCTCCAGTTCCCTTTCACCAGTCCAGAATTCCCGGACTGTGGCTTAATGGTTGTTCGTAACTGTGATGCTCCAAATAAACCGATTGAACTAGAGAAGAATGGATCAAGATCATCCTTGCAGCTTAACGGTGTCCTTCTGCCGCAAAATATGATTACGGTTTTCGATCAGGATCTACACAATCGTTTGCAATCCAATGGTTCTTGTGAAGCCTTCAACAACAATATCTCAATTCCTGCAAGCTCTCCTTTGATTTCTTTTGATATTAAATACAACATAACCCTGTTTAAATGCAACCACCAACTCAATGTCAGCACCCCCTCTGGTTTTATTAAACATCCCTGTGCAAACTTCGATATCTATCATTACCGCCTACTCTCTGATCTTCAACCTCACCAAAAAAGCCATTTCTCAGCATGTTCAAATCTTGTGCTTCCAAAAAAAGACCTGCCCGATAGCAGTGACCTTCAATCGTTCTTATCTGCTCAAATGACTCTGGAGCTACGAATATCTGATGCTTGTGATCAGTGTCACAACAGCAGCGGCCAGTGTCAACTTGACAGAAACAATAACTTCTGCTGCATCAAAGGTACACTCCGAAAACAATCCTTGGGTTCTGAATATTTTGAGAGGTTCCAGTATGACCTAATTAATTTAATATTTTCCATGACATGGTTCTGACTATTTGTGTCTTTAACTTACCAGTATGTACTTCTTGCTTCCGAATTTTAAGTGATTTTCTTTGTAATCCATGGCAAAAGCTGATCCTTTTTTGCCTAACTTCATCTTATATTTGATATTCTTATTCCTTAATGGGACAATTCGAGATCTTCAGTTATGAGATTATGCTTTTCTGCTCCCCTCTAATTCTTGCGACTCCTTTCCTTACTTTCCTCGCCTAACTCCCAATGACATCTTAAAGTTTTTGGCTCTCAACTATGCTGTCCTTTACTTTGTGATCCTTTTGGTTTTTACGTCAAAATATGTCTTCTTTTGGTTGCAGCTGCACCTGATAAGAGTAAAATTTGGAAGCTGGCGCTGGGACTTGGGCTAGGTAATGCACAATGTTGTCTTGTATTATTCTGTACCGACTTTGTTAGTTGTTTAATTCTGATCAGTATATGTTGTTCTCCTGATTGTCATAACTATGCTTCTTCTTCTTCTTCTTCTTCTTCTTCTTCTTCTTTTGGTTCTCCCTTTTTTCCCAAAAGATGTTGAATTGGAAATACAAAAGTTGGTCAGTCATTCATCCTTTTAATGACATGCACACTCTCAACTAATTCTTCATTGACTTTTTCATTGCTTACTCCCAATTTAAAAACTATCATACTAAAAGTGGAACTCCACACTTGCAGGTTTTTTTATTGGACTTCTAGGCATTTTGATAAGTTGGCAGCTACTAAGGCTGTGTTACAAAAGAAAATATTCATCTTCAGATGTCCAGGTGCAATTAACAAGAAATAATACAATTGATCCCTACTCAAATGCAGACCCAGAAAGAGGCAGAACCTACTTGGGGGTACCCCTCTTCTCTTACAAGGAGCTTGAAAAAGCAACAAATAACTTCAATCGTTCAAGAGAATTGGGAAATGGAGGCTTTGGGTCTGTTTACTATGGTAATTCACTCGTGATTTTCTTTCCTCTAAAACATATAGAATATTAGCTTGTCTTCTTTAGGGAGGCGAAGGTTCTTCCGAGTTTTTGGCTATATTATCTTATTGGAGAAAGGATGAGATATCATGTATGAGGAGGAAACAGAAAGTTTAGAGGTTTTTCAGAATCTTCTCCATAGGCCCTTTTCAAAAGAGAAGCTTGTATGAAAAACAGCAATTTTTGTGGTGACCAAAGCTATTTTGTGTTCTGCATGGTTTCTCTAATTAAGGGCATAGGTTTTGGTCCAAGAAAAATTAAGGGCATTGGATGCATGTGATAAGATCATTTGTAACAGTTGAGGGTACAACTATAGGTGTAATTCCACTTAGTACTTCAAGTTTGGTTTTTCTTATGTCCACTAAATCAATATGCCTGCTCAGCTCCGAAGGAAAAGATGCAATAGAATAAATGAGTTCTACATGATTACATCCTTTCAGAAACATCTTCCATCTTGTTCATAACTTGTGCTTTGATTCTAAATGACCAGGAAAACTCCAAGATGGACGTGAAGTTGCAGTTAAGCGCCTATATGACCACAACTATCGGAGAGTGGAACAATTCATGAATGAAATTGAGACACTAACTCGCTTGCGCCATCGAAACCTTGTGTCCCTTTATGGCTGCACATCACACCATAGCCTTGAACTCCTCCTTGTGTATGAATACATTCCAAACAAAACAGTTTCTTGTCATCTCCATGGTGAATTAGCTAATTTTGGATTACTACCATGGCCTGTAAGAATGAAAATTGCCATAGAAACAGCAACTGCATTAGCTTTTCTCCATGCTTCAGACACCATTCATCGGGATGTCAAAACTAACAATATCCTTCTTGACGACAACTTCTCAGTCAAGGTTGCAGATTTTGGATTATCAAGGTTGTTTCCTGATGATGTTACCCATGTTTCCACTGCCCCACAAGGGACTCCTGGTTATGTTGACCCAGACTATCACCAATGCTACCAGCTTACTAGCAAAAGTGATGTGTATAGCTTTGGGGTGGTGCTTATCGAACTGATATCATCTATGCCAGCAGTTGATATGAGCAGGCCTAGAGATGAGATAAATCTAGCAAATCTAGCTGTAAATAAGATTCAAAGAAGTGCATTTGGGGAGCTGGTGGATCCTTGTCTCGGTTTTGAGTCAGACAAAGAGGTGAGGAGGATGATAGTTTCAGTGGCGGAGTTGGCTTTTCAGTGTTTACAAAGGGATAAGGAGTTGAGACCTTCTATGGATGTGGTTTTGGAGATTCTGAAGAGAATTGAGAGTAGGAATGAGGAGTTTGATCATCTCGAAGAAGTGGATAGTCACTGCGCTGTCGGTATATTACACAGCGGTCCTATTCATCCACAATCACCACCTTCACCGGACTGTGTTGAGGCTGGATTGCTGAAAAGTATGAAGTCATTGTCTTCACCTAAAGCTGTTACTGACAAATGGCATAGTGAGGCAACTACAACTCATGGGAGTGTTTAATACTACCTCCGGTTCTAATTATAAGACCCAGTTGACTTATTTGAGGAGATTAAGGAAGTAAATTAAGTTAGTTATTTGTAATAAATAAGTGTTGTCATTCCTAAAATATCTTTGCTAATTAAATATATTAGCTAGAACTATCATTATTGGAAGGATTATTTTGAAAAAAAATGTATAAATATGAGAGACAAAATGGATTGAGGTCTTATAATTAAGACCAAACAAAAAGTCAAACGGAGTCTTATAATAAGGACCGGAGGTAGTATCAACTTTCAGGTTCTATTGGACATTAACCTGTGCTCCATATCACAGTGATGACAAAGGTTGAGGGTGCAAGTATAAATGAAAAATTCGAAGGCAGATTCTATCCACAAGAGATAACTAGATCAAGAAAACTGTACCCAAATTTCTGGTTAAAAAAAAACTGTACCAAAAAAAAATGTAAATGTGTTATATATATTATAATATTTATTTCGGACGTCTGTGTATATATATCATTGCCTTTAGTTTTTTTTTAAATTTTTTTTAATGTGAACATTGAATTTTCTCCCTTCATTAAATAAATACTTTGTCCTAGAGTTATAGATCAGCCTAAAAAATTTGGTCATGAAATGAGATGGTTTCGTGTTGGGCTAAAGAGGAAAATAACAAAATCAAAATAGCCTAGACGGAAGTAAGCCTTTTATATAAATGGCTCAAGGGCTTATTGTGTATTTCCTTTAGAGTTTAGAAAATTGAATTTGGTTAGAATTTATTTTGTTACAGCGTGATTTGTTTGGATAGAAATCAAATCATAATATTTTAATAGTGATTTTATGATATATATATATAAATAAAATAAGTATATGAGAGCAGTTTTGTTTCTATTTGTAAGAAAATATTTTTAAAAAATACTTTTTACTTAACCAAACACCCCTTAATTTATATTTGGATGTGTAATTATTAAAAAAAAAATGAGTTTCCAATATAATGTAACATAATGAAATATTAAATGATTAATGAACTTACATATATTGATTTATATAATAAATAAAAATGTATATAAATATAAAACAAGCAAGAAGGGGTTAGAAATCGCAGGTGGCTGAGAGAAAGAACAAAGAAAAATCTTAAAACAATACTTCTTGAATTTTAAAATTTCAAATCATTTTTGTTTATTATATTTTAATAGCAATCGACTACACAAGTGACAACATATTTTTATATTAATTTTTGATTTGGTATTTTAAAATTTAAAAAGTATTTTTTTAAAAGATTTTCTCAGAAGAATTAACGAACGAAGAAGAGAAAAAAAAAGAAGAAGCAACAAATGGGTACTAGTGGTTGGTGAAATATTTATTGCATGTAGCATGATTTTTTTTTAAATACAAAAGTTGGTCTTTTTTCTCTTTCGTGGTTTGTAGGGCAAAGTCGGTGGATGTTTTGATCACTTCCAAAAAATAATTTTTATAAGACAATTCCTATCTCATTTATTTCATAGTGTAAAATTATTTAAAATCACTTAAAATACTAGTTACGTTTGGGTATGTTCTTAACTTGAATCCGATATTAAAGAACTGGGTATGGATTGAGGGGTAATTTTATGAGTTGAGCTATTCTTATTTGAGGGATGATGACTTATTTACAATTTCACATAAGATTAGAGATCAAGGTTTAATCCAACATAATCTGACACCAAGCTTATTATAGGTAGATGGGTTGTGTTGGTTGTTAGAATCCAAGCACAAGCCAACAGGGATACAAGATAATAATGGTGGGATCCAATTTTTGAACTACTGAGATTACTGATATACTGTCACTGCTACAACAGGGCAAAGTGTTTCTAGCATTGCTTAAATCTTTTTAGTATCATCAATTTCTTTATCTTTGGTTGTCTGTATAGTTTCTCTTCTTTTTACAGATTCCAAAAGCCTGTCCTCCTGTGATACACCTCATGCTTCTATGTAGTGTGGTCCTTGTAGCTGATTTTTGGAGTTAAATATAGACGTGCAAGCACGGTAATCATATTTACTTGACTTCCATCTTCAATACCAAACGCACTGAGCCTACTATTCCGACTTCCGAACGGCCATATCTTCGTCGTCCATTCCATTGGTCGGTTTGACAAAGTCACAAAGGACGGAAAAAAGTTTCATTTCGAATTTGATTGCTTGAACAGTAAACTTGGAGGATCGTATGAAAACTTTGATGGGTCCAAGATTCAATAGGCCAACTTGAGATGGAAAATTTGTCTTAGCTTCCTTCTTACAATGATCAACATAACATTTAGCTAGACCCTATTGATTACTCCCTTGGCTAGCTACCCCTTATTTTCTTTCAGGTCTCTTTCACCAAGTCTTGCCTGGTCACTTTCCAAGTCAACTTGCGTGTCAGTCAGTTCAAGTTGGAAAGGTTATATATGGATACACACACACACACACCCGTATTATTATCTTGGGGGTGACAGTGGAAACAGCATTAGTCTGAACTAAATTATTATTAGATAACAAGTCTTTTGTTGGAGTATCATGGCTCTGGTTTTTGAGTTTCGTTTCCTCTTGATCTCTCACCTTTTACTTGTTTCAGCTAGGTATGGACATGCGAGCCATAATAAGTGTCCTAGATCGTTTAACTGCGGAAAACCTGGGAGCATCCGGTTCCCTTTCACCAAGGTAGAAAGGCCAGACTGTGGCTTACTGATGGTTCGTAATTGTGATGATCCAAATGCATCTTCAGAAAAAATTATTGAACTAGAGAAGGAACCCTGGCAGCTTACTAGAGCCCCTCGCCAATCACATAGCGTTACGGTTTTCAACCCAGATTTACACACTCGCTTACAATCCAATGGCTCTTGTGAAGCCCTCAAGAATAATATCAGTCTTCCTGCGAAAGCACCTTTGATTTCTTCTTATATCAAATATAACATAACACTCTTTAAATGCCACCACCACCTCAATGTCAGCATCCCAACTGGTTTTATTAAAAATCCCTGTCCTGGTTTTGATATATATCATTACAGCCGAGACGCTAATCTTAAACCTGTCGAAGAAAGCTCCTTCTCAGCATGTTCAACTGTGGTGCTTCCCAAGAAAGACTGGCCTGATAGCACAGACCTTCAATCGTTCTTATCTGCACAAATGGCTCTTGAGGTACGATTGTCTGATGGTTGTGAGAAGTGTTACAACGACCAAGGAGGCTACTGTCGACTGGACAACAACAATAACTTCTACTGCGACAATGGTCTGTGTTCCAAGAATAACCCTTGTCTACACAGGATAAGTGAAATTGTCACGTACCATAAATAATTTTGTCCTTGACATGGTTGTGTCAATTTCCGAATTGGAGTTATTTTCCTTGTTATTTATCTATGGCAAACGCAGAACTTTCTTGCTAACTTCCTTATATCTTATATATTCTAATTCCTTCGATTCCTCGTCTTCCCTTCCCCGCCTAATTTCCAATAAACACATCTTAAAGTTATGGCTCTGCACTAATTTGGTCTTATATTTTGTCGTTGTGTTTACTTCAATTTGTTCCTTCTTTTGATTGCAGCTCCGTCTAATCCAAGGAAACTTTGGAAGCTGGCACTGGGACTTGGGCTAGGTAATATACATATATGTTGTTATATTCTTTCTCAGCTATTAGCATCATTCTCTAATATTATACCTGGGTCCTCTTTCAAATTCTGTTTTGAGATACTGTGGATCCATTCTTCTTCACATTCAAAAATCAGCCTTCTATTAATATTTCAGAAAACTTTTTGTTCTCTTCCTCTGTTTCAGGCTATCACTCTCCATTCCGTTTCCACAATCCTTACAGTTTCAATCACTAAAATATTTCTACCTTGACAACTAACAAGCTGTGGAAGTCCCAAGATTATCTTAAACCAGCTTTTCATTACATCCTCTCTTGGTTAACAATGGCTAGATTTAAGAATTATAATATTAAAAAGTGGGAACTCCACTTTTGCAGGTCTATTTGTTGGAGTTTTAGGCATGTTGATAGTTTGGCGGCGACTTCGACAGCATTACAAACGAAAGTATCCATCAGACAACCAATTGCAAGTAACAAGCAATTATGCAATTGATCCGTACTCCAATGCAGACCGAGAAAGTGGCAGAATCTACTTGGGGGTGCCACTCTTCTCGTACGAGGAGCTTAAGAAAGCAACAAATAACTTTGATCGTTCAAGAGAACTGGGAAATGGAGGCTTTGGCTCTGTTTACTATGGTAATTCACTCACTATGATCTTTCTTCTAAAACATATAAATTACGACCTCTTGTCCTTATTATAAGGAAATTAGTGAAGTTAATTATTTTAATAAATATGTCTTGTCTTTTGTAAAATACTTTTACTAATCTAATCATATGTATTAGTAAGAACTACTATTTGATGAAATCTTCAATATATACAAACATTACAAGGGCTACTTTGAAAAAAATAGATAAATATGAGAGACCAAGTAGATTGGAGTCTTAAATTTAGGAACAAACTAAATGTCAAACTAACTCCTACATTTTGGCCACGGGTAGTATTATCTTGTCTTCTGATTCGTTTTAGAAACATGTTCCATCTTGTTCATATGCTGTGATTTGATGTTAAATAACCAGGAAAACTCCAAGATGGGCGTGAAGTTGCAGTTAAGCGCTTATATGACCACAACTATCGGCGAGTTGAGCAATTCATGAATGAGATTGAGATGCTAACTCGCTTGCACCATCCAAACCTTGTGTCCCTCTATGGCTGCACTTCATGCCGTAGCTGTGAGCTTCTCCTTGTTTATGAATACGTTCCCAATAGAACAGTTTCTTGTCATCTCCATGGTGAACCAGCAAATCGCAGTTTACTACCATGGCCTGTAAGAATGAAAATTGCCATAGAAACTGCAACTGCATTGGCTTTTCTCCATGCTTCTGACACCATTCATCGAGATGTCAAAACTAACAACATCCTTCTTGACAATAACTTTTCAGTTAAGGTTGCAGATTTTGGACTTTCAAGATTGTTTCCTGATGATGTTACCCATGTTTCCACTGCCCCACAAGGGACTCCTGGTTATGTTGACCCAGACTATCACCAATGCTACCAGCTTACTAGCAAAAGTGATGTGTATAGCTTTGGGGTGGTGCTTATCGAACTGATATCATCTATGCCAGCAGTTGATATGAGCAGGCCTAGAGATGAGATAAATCTAGCAAATCTAGCTGTAAATAAGATTCAAAGAAGTGCATTTGGGGAGCTGGTGGATCCTTGTCTCGGTTTTGAGTCAGACAATGAGGTGAGGAGGATGATAGTTTCAGTGGCGGAGCTGGCTTTTCAGTGTTTACAAAAGGAAAAGGAATTGAGACCTTCCATGGATGAGGTTTTGGAGATTCTGGAGAGAATAGAGAGTGGGAATGAGGAGCTTAATCAGATTGAAGAAGTTGATGTTAATGGTGCTATTGGGATATCACACAGTGGTCCTTTACATTCATCTTCACCACCTTCACCGGATTGCGATGAGATCGGATTATTGAAAAGTATCACGTCATTGCCTTCACCTGCAGCCGTGACTGATAAATGGCATAGCGAATCAACTACAAATTTTGGGAGTTCTTAATAATCATTCATCATACTGATTTATTAAAGATCATAGTGATTACAGAGGTTGTGGATGTAGATATAAATGAAAATTCAAATGTACGTTCTATTTGTAAGGGATAATTACACGAAGATATTAAGTTGATTATATTTTAATTAGGTTAATTATGACAACCATAATTTTACTATGAGTTGGTGGGATTTATTTTAGTAACTCCCAATTCATTCCAATTATGTTATGTGTAGTGGTTATCTTTCTTTGTTTTTTTTTTGCCTTTTAATTTTTTTGGGGATAATGTTATCTTTTCACTTATAAAGCTGCTTACACTATGCTTACAGTATTTTTTTTTTGGATACAACGGGACACAAAATAAAATAAATTACCAAATCTCTATCAAAAAAATGATTATCCTTTAGAGTTTTTGCTGAGACAGACAGTCTGAAAGCCAACGCCTATGCTTAGTCCTTTCTTTGCTAGCTTATTTGTTAATTCATTCGTGCAAAGTGACTTGCCATTCCTGTCTTAACATGGATTTGATTTGTCACTAGAGATAGATGTTCATGAGTTTCAGGAGTCTCATAAATAATTAGCTCAATTGTTTCTATTATATTTAATTGTTTTTCTAATTAATGAGCATGACAAGTTATAATATCCCAATAGCATAGATTCTACTGGTTGAATCTCGTTACTTTGTTAGGGAATGGTAATGCCTTCACCTTGATCTGACCACGAGAATTAATATATAGTCAAAGGTAAAAGGCTCTATGTATAATTTCAACATTAAAGATAAGAGATTAAATTTATATTAATAAGAAATTATAGGAAATGCCTCATTAATAATTGGATGGCACAATTGATTTTGCAATAGAAAAATAAAATTATTCAATTTTCAAATCAAAACAATCTAGGCTAGATTTAAAACAAAATATTAACCCCTGTTCAAACAGTTAACTAAATAAAACTAAGATCTCTTGGATCTCTTTACACTGCTTGGGCCTGTTGGTGGAAAGCCTTTATCATGTTCTATTGGGCTTAAAGATATGTGATCATGTGTCTTGGATTGGGCCTTGGTATATCCCTTCTCCAAAAGGTAGGTGGGCTCTCTTTGTTGTAGCTCCATGATCCATCCTTGTAATGCTTATTTATTTCATAGCTTTTCTCAATGACATTGTCATTTTTTTCACCCAAAAAGGGGGGGGGGGGGGGAACTATCATTGCTGCTTCATTGTCGACTCCTTGAGGACCTCCATCAAGAATATTTTACAATGGCTTTTCTTTTACCATGACTTTTCTAGGGAAGTGCGAAGCATGCATCTAGGCTCCGGATTATAACTCAAAATTTTAAATTCAAATTAAACGTTTCCTTCCTTTAATAAAACTTCTAGTTTTTAATATAAGAGTTATATAATTAATTTATAAATAATAAATAAACTAGTCAAGTTAGTTATTAGTGATAAATGTGTCTTAGTTTTCCTAAAACTACTATCTTTGATTATATGCGTTGGAATTATTTCTTGATTAGGAGTCTTTTAATATGTGCAATTAATAAGGATATTTTAAGCAAAGATTTATAAATTTGGAAGATAAAATATATTGAGACCTTATATTTAGAAATAAAATTAACCGTTTGTTTAGCTCATATATTTAAGATAAAAGATAGTAAGTGAGTTGACAATATTTATTGCCTATTTAGTACGTGAAAAATAAATTTTAGGTTTAATATCTTACCTTTGTTATCCTTCTTGTGCATCAGACTTTTTAATGTAGCATGTAACTAACTATTTATCAAAATTTGATGCAAGAAAGTGAGGGGTAAATATATTACTATCTCCAATCTTTAATATAAGAGCTATTTAACTAATTTGAGTAGATTAAAGAAATTAGTTAGGTTAGATATTTGTAATAAAAATTTGTCTTTTTTTAAAAGTACTTTTACTAATTATGTATATTAACTAAAACTGCTATTTGATGAAACTTTTAATATGTGTAACTATTACAAGAATTATTTTAGAAAAAAAATAAATAAACATGAGAGACAAGATAAATTAAAGATCACATATTTAGAATTAAATAAATATAAAACTAGTTCTAATGGATATATCTAATGCAAGATGTACGATGAGGATATTTATTTATAAACTAAATAAATTTGCCATATATCCCACCTGTACCTTCAACTCATATATTTGAGCTTCAAAAAAGATATTTTAATCCTACAACTTTTGTTTGATGCAATTAAAGTCGCCGTTCTAAATTGAATGCTCAACAATTCGGAAAGTTAAACGGAAAAAAAATATTTTGAACCCTGCCTATAAGTTTCATCGATAAATTACAAATGCGGCTTCAAATACTCTTTCAAGTGAACATTCGTAATAAAAATTTAGGACTATAATTCTTTTGGTAAGAGTATGTAGTTTGGCAAGTTGTTGTATCAGGAATCGATTGTCCAGGGGTCTAGTTGGATATGAGGGTGGACCGAAAAACCATGTAATGATACAAATATTGATCACAATAGTCAACATATGAGGTTTTTAAATATTCAAAAAGTCAAAATCAAAACATTGCATTTGGGTGAATGCGGTTAAATATAGAACATTTACTTAATGACTAAAAATTGATATAATGGTGAGTCATAGTTTTTTTTTTTTTTTGCTACGCATGTGTATCCTTTTATTAGAAATAGTTTCATCCAAAGCACAATTGGGTACCAAGTGTGAAAAGAAGAGTTTCAAACCGTGATCTGTCATATTGTAAAGGAATGACAAGTCACAGTTATAATCATAAGTTTAACTCCAACAACATGCTTTAATTTGAAGAAGGCGTGTGTTGGAGGGACTTGTTGGATTGGTCAACATAGCGTCATAACAAGGCAGTATAAAAAATTGGAATCATCTGATCAAAATATGGTGCATGAATTGATGTAATATGTTGTATGACTTTTGGCCTTATATAATAAACGATGGATTGAATTCAAAATCAACCAATACGAAGTGCCATCTCTTTGGGGCAAACGAGATTCCCGTGCTCTTCAATTCAAAGCATGCATGGCTCTCATGGCTTCTAAGTCTTCCCCACTCGTTTTCCAAGTCAACTTTCCCTCTTGCATGAATCACTTCAAGTACGTGATATATTACCAACACCCTGAAATCACAATCTCCAGAAAACACTTGTCTCGTCTTCTTCTTGTTAGTTTTCTTGATTTGAAATTCTGGCATGGCTTCTTCAGTTCCTGTGTTTCTTTCCGTCTTCTTTCTTCACCTGGTTCATGTTTTCTCATCGGGGTATATTAATAGAATCCATGGAAACTGTTCTAGCTCGTTTGAGTGCGGAGAACTTGGGACATTCCAGTTCCCTTTCACCAAGCCAGAACTTTAAGACTGGGTTTATCACAGTTCATGGCTGTGATGATCCAAGTTCAAACAATTATTGATCTGGACAAGAATAACGGAAGGAAGAAGCTGCGGCTTCTAAACGTCTCCCAGAAGAACATCATCACAGTCTCGGACGAAGATCTAGACAAGATTCTGAAATCCAAAGGTTATTGTCAGGTTTTCGACACAAACCAAGTACCAAGTTCTTCTCCGCCGAACTCAGCTTTGGTCTCTTTTGAGATCCTAAATCATGGGAATTTGATCAAATGCAGTCACTGTGACCATGTGCATCGTCCCGCTGGTTTTTCCAAACATGTCTGTTCTGACTTTGATGTCTACTGGGAAGACTCATCCAGGCATAAACCTAACAATAATATTCAGGCACCACTTGGTTCTTTCCCCGGTTGTTCATTTCTTCATCTTCCAAGTAAAGACATTTCTAATACTAATGACCATCTGTCCTTCTTAATAGTCAAATTGTTATCCAAGTACGATTGTCTCATGATTGTGATAAGTGTCACAACCACTTGGGAGGCCAGTGTCTTCTTGATGCCAACGACAAGTTTTACTGCAAATATGGTAAGAGCTTTGTGCTTACAAACACACACGCGGACACATACTAAATTTTTATATATAAAAGTAGTATATATACATCATAATTGTTGTTTAGCTGACTTCAAATGGTGTCTTGTCTTAACTTGAGCTGCAGAGAACACAAGGAAGAACTACAAGCTGGGATTTGGGCTTGGGATAGGACGTGATGTGCACGCATATTTTTTTATTTGCCCATGATTTTAACGATTTAGTTTATCATACTTTACTGATATGTCAAATTTTCCATCCTTCTCAAATCTGGATCAGTAAAGAATTTAATAGAAACAGAGAAATTGAGACCCTTATTCACTTTTACAAGTGATGCTGATTTTGAATTATTGTGCAAAAACAAGTTGAATTTGAACGTGTCCTGAAATGAACTAATTCCAATCTTTACTGGAAGAAGATTCACAAATAATTAGTATTTTCAAAACCTTTCATGTATATGCTATTAGAATTTTTATGTTCTACACTCCAGCCTTTAGTTACACACTTTTACGTTGACTATTGAAAATCCTCAGATGACGAGGCAACAAGGTTATCTCAATATATTTTTGTCAGGTCCATTACAATGGATTATCTGCGGGATTATTTGTTATTTTTTGTGTTTATAGTTATTCTGATAATTTGTCAGCTACGCCAAAGACATTACAAACAAAAAAAAATTCCATCTTCAAACATCCAAATGCAATCAGCAAATAATAATAAAAGCAATCCTTTCACAAATGCAAACTCAGAAAGTTACAGAGCCTACTGGGGTCCTCTTCTCTTACGCCGAACTTGAGAAAGCCACAAATAACTTGATCATTCAAGAGAACTTGGAACTAGAGGTTTTGACATTGTTTGCCATGGTAATTATTTCCTCACACTTCCTTTTTATTATGTTCTGTTTCTGATAAAAAGGGTTCTTCAGAGTGATGTTTTGCCTAAGAGAGAAAGGAACTTGGTAAGAAGAGAGATCTAAAACCCTATATGGAGTCTCCTTTGACGGCTTCTATTGAATTGGTCCAGTAACTTCATCCCTTGTTCATAATGAACTTATGTTTTAACACCATAATAGAGCAGTTCATAAATGAAGTCAAGATTCTGACTCACCTATGCCATCGCAACCCTGTGTCTCTTTATGGTTGTCTTCATGTCACTGTCACGAACTTCTTCTTGTCTACGAATACATTCCAAATGGCACTGTTTACTGTCATCTTCATGGTGTGCTAGCCAATCGTGGTCTCCTGCCATGGCTTATAAGAATCAAAATAGCCATAGAAACTGCCACTGCTTTGGCTTACCTTCATGCTTCAGACATTATCCATTGTGATGTCAAAACCAACAACATCCTCCTAGAAAATAACTTTTGTGTTAAGGTTGTAGATTTTGGTCTTTCAAGGTTGTTTCCCAATGCTGTCACGCATGTTTCCACTGCTTCACAAGGGAAACCCAGGTTATGTCGATCCAGAATATCACCAGTGTTACTAGCTTACTAGCCAAAGTGACGTGTATAGTTTTGGGGTTGTGCTTATTGAACTAATTCATCTTTACTTCCTGCAGATATTATGTGGGATAAAGGTGAGATAAACTTGCAAATATTGTGGGGAAGAAGATTCAAGAGGGTGCATTTGGGAGCTAG